TGGCGTTGGTGTGAACGTCTAGGCCTGCCGGTCTAGGAACTTACTGCGCCGGTCCGAGCACGCGAAGTGTTAGGTCGGGCATGTCCCCCTAAAGGCGGATTTGGGGCGGAAAAATTCAGATATTCAGAAAATACTCCACACTATTCAAAACATATTCAATATGGAAAAGCCTATATTTCTGGGAGCTTCGTTCTTCAGTTGTACCAGCGGTCGCGACGGCCCAAGAGGTTACAATAATGGGCCCCCGACGACCCCAGAGGCCCCAAAGAGGGTTCCAAGATGGGATGAAGAGAGCTTCAAGCGGCACAGGAGAGCTACAAGACGGCCCAAGAGAGCCTCCAGGAAACCCGAGGGGGCCACCAGAGAATTCCAACATGGTCAGAGAGGGCCCCAGGAGGGCCCCAAGACGGGCTGAGCTCCCCACGACGGACCAAGAGGGACCAGGAACGGCCGAAATGTGCCCTCAGACGGGCCAACAAAGGGCCCAAAGGACTCCAAAGGAAGGCCCGGAGAGGCTCCAGAGACTGCCACAATGCTTCCCCAAAAGGCTCCCGGCACGCGGTCCAGTAGGCACCAGTGAAGTGGGTGCGTTGAGAAACGAGAGGAGGAGGAGGAGGAGGAGGAGGAGGAGGAGGAGGCGGAGGAGGACAAGGAGGACACAAGGAGGAGGAGGAGGAGGAGGAGGAGGAGGACAAGGAGGAGGAGGAGGAGGGAGGGAGGTAGGAGAGGAGGGAGGAGGAGGAGGACGAGGAGGAGGAGGAGGACGAGGAGGACGAGGAGGAGGAGGAGGAGGAGGAGGAGGAGGAGGAGGAGGAGGTGGGAGAGGAGGAGGAGGAGGAGGAGGAGGAGCAGGAGGAGGAGGAGGAGGACAATCCGTAGCCCCCTGGCTCAAGCCATTGGCTCAAGCCATTTTGGCTCAAGCCTTGGCTCAAGTCTGGCTTATCCCCGCTTGCGCGCGCGTCGGCATGCCGATTCCGCACTCTGCGTGGAGAGCTCTTGAGAATGGCTGCGGGAACTGCCCCAGATGCGTGGCAGGCGCATGGGAGCCGAGCGGCAGCGCGGAGCCTGCGGCGTTCGCGGGCCATCGAGTCTTCCGGCAACTTGATCCGCAAGCTGCTGGAGAACCGCGACCAGCTCCAGACCAAGTACACCCGCCTCCTCGGCCTCGTAGGGCTGCTGCTGGGCGTGGAGAAGGAGGTCGCCGGCCGGGTACTGGCGGGACTGCCTGCGCTGATTGCTCAGGTTCGCGGCGGGCCGCTTGCGCCAGCGGGCTGGCTGCGGCGGAATGTCGCGTGGCATTCGCAGGCAGAAGGCATCGACCTCCTGCACGCCCCTGCGAGAGTGCTGCGGCATGCTGCGAAAAGGGCCCCGTTTGGAGCGCCCTGTGGCGGCTGCGGCGGACGCGGCAGAGGGCAGCGAAGCTGACAACAAGTTCATAGGCTTGCGAGCGGAAGCCCCAGTCTTTCTCGGGGCGGGCAGTTGGGAACCCATCCGCGATCCTGTTGTATGTGATGCTGGCCTCCGCTGCACGTGCGGAACTCTGGTCTACAGCTCCCTGACAGGCGACCCTCCCTTTGTTGCCAACAGCGGCGTACCTTACATCGAATACGACAGAGTCGTCGTCCACCAGAAGAACGTGTGCGAGGGTTTTCGGAAGTGCTCGGCGGAGAATCCTCGGAACACCAGCGCCTCATGTGCAGTCAGGCCGTTGGATTCAGAGTCGGAGGAGGTCTATGCAGATATTCACGAATATTATCTTGTTGCCTTGCCTGGAGGAGGATTCATGTATCCTTGCGCTGATCCTGCTGTGAACAGTTTTGGGACGAGCTCCGACGTGCAGGCCACTTCGGAGGGCGAGGCGGCGATCTTGGGCTTCATCCGAGCTCGGGAGCTCGAGCTGCAGACGTGGAGCGCACGCCCACCAGTGCGGGCCATGCGTGCGAGGCCTTGACCATTCGTGCGTCGGCGCGCCATACTGGACCAAGAGGCGGCCTTCTTTCGCGCTCGGGAGCAAGAGCTGCGGGACTGGAGCGCAAGCATGTCGGAGAGGGCTGCGAGTCAGAGACAGCAGCCATTCGTGCGGCGGCGCGAGCAGGTGAATGAATTGGCCCGCTCGTTCGGATGCCCGCTCGATCGAGAGAGATCCCAGAGTGACTGCACACAACCGTAACTAGCATTTCAATCACGATGGGCCGTGTGCGGCGCTGTGGCTCGGGCACCCGTCCGCGGTGCCCATCGCGCGTGCTCTTCTCACTGTTGTTCATCATATGCGCAGTTGCCTCGTTCATGGAATGCAGCAGCGAAGGCAGAGCCAGTGGAAAGGAGGAGGACAAGGAGGAGGAGTAGGAGGAGGGGGAGGAAGATCAGGAGGACGAGGAGGGGGAAGAGGAGGGGGAAAAGGAGGAGGAGGGACATTCTTCTCGTAATATGACCTTGTTCTCTGATTCTCTGGCTCGGGGAGGGATGCTGCGGACGAGGAGGGAAGGGGGGCGCGGGATGAAGAGGGCTCGAGAGGAGGAAGGAGGTGAAGTAGGTGAAGGAACACACGGAAGGACACACCGAAGTGCGGGGAAGACATTGGGGGAGGAGAAGGAGGAGGAAAAAGAGGAGGAGGAAGAGGTGAAGGAACAGGGATCCCTTTTTCAGGGAAACGCCGACGAGGAAAAATATGAATATAAGATGATGGGAAGAGGGGGAACGGGAAGAGTAGGAGGGTAAGGGGACTGCAGTGGACCGGGGATGATGACGCTGATGATGATGACGATGACTATGCCGACGACGACGCCGACGACGACCAACAAGATGCTGATGATGCGGATGATGACGTTGAAAAGTACGATGACGATGATGACGATGGTAATCACGATGTTAATGATAATGGTGATAAGGATGATTGTTGTGATGGTGACGGTGAAGGTGACCATAACCACGAAAATGACGATGAAGATGACGGGGATGAGGATGACAATGGTGACGATGATCATGACCCTAGCTAGGAGTTGAGCGCGCGCGAAGCGAAAGAGAAATAGAGAAATATAGATAGAGAAAGAGAGAAAGAGAGAGCGAGAGAGAGAGAGAGAACAAACAAAAAAACAGAGACGGAAAGAGAGAGAGAGAGAGAGAGACAGAGAAACAACACAAATATGAAGCAACACACGAAAAAACGAACTAGGGCGAGAAGCGAGAGCGAGAAAGGAAGGGGGGTTGTAGATTAGTACCGACGCCAATGTCACGCCCAGTGTCAAATGGCGCGGGTCTTAAATTCCGGCGTCACCCTCACGCTGTCAGGTGGTCGAGAAGTAATAAAAGGAGGGTTCGGGAGTGCAGCGGGAGGGACGACGAGGCGATGGCGGGGAATGGTGGGGTTTAAGGTCCATGCCACTTCAGGCTGGGCTTTGAGCCGGCGTGGACATCAAACCTTGGGGCAGATCGGGGAGATATTGGAGGTGTTGGGGTTCGTTGGCCCAGCCTCGCGATGTAGCGGTTTCAGACTGTATTGCAGCGGACTTGCAGCGCTTTTGGGCCGCCGTGGAGCCGCGTGGGGGCCGAAAGGGGCGTCGGATTTTTCGCAGGGGGGCTAGGGCGATAGTAATTTTGACAGGCAACGTGGCCCTCTTATGTCCTTCGTGTTCGGGCGTTCTGTTTTGGAGTGCTTTTCCTTTGGGGCTTGTATCGCAAAGGGGCCTTGATCCTGCGGCTAAGGAGCTCATGCTCGCGACCCGCGCAATCGTAGCCACGTTCTGGCTGCACGCGTGCAGAGAGGGGGGATTTACTTGGACGACTCCTGCAGTCCAGTCAGCCAAGCGACAATTACCGTGTTGGGGCGGCGGCAGACTCCTGCAGATGAGTGCCCTGGAGTACTCGGCTGTTCGGCACATCCTCGGGCACCTTTGGATGCCCGACGGACTGAGCCCGAGTCGGCGATATATCGCCGATCGAGCACCGAGCCCGTCCTCCTCCTCCTCCTCCTCCTCCTCCTTCTCCTCCTCGTTCATCCCTGCTGGGCCACGCCATCTCGGCACCACCAGCCTGCCCTCCTAGTTGGGTGCAGGCCCCCCGAGACCCGAGCGAACGGGCACAGATCCCCACGTGGGTGGGCCAGTCGGCCAGTGGGGCCAAGGCCACGCCAGCTGTGATGGGGACCGGCTCAACGCTGCTCCCACGCCGAGTGTCGATTGCGGCCGCCGCGCGCCGGCCTCTCGCGGCCGACTCCTGCAGAGGGGTGCCCGGGAATACATGGTTGTTCGGCACATCCCGGGACAGCTTTGGATGCCCGAGGGTCTTGCATCAGTTGGGGGCGGCCTCCGCCGCTTCAACCTCGTCCTCCTCCTCCTTCTCCTCCTCCTCCTCCTCCTCCTCCTCCTCCTCCTCCTCCTCCTCCTCCCCCTCCCCATCGTCCTCCTCCTCCTCCTCCTCCTTCTCTTCCTCCCCCTGCTCCTCCTCCTCCTCCTCCTCCTGGGGTGGGAAGGTCGTCGGTCTAGGTCGGCTGGGGTCCACGCATCGAAACAAGTGGAGCACGGGATGTCCTGTCGGGGGCGGCAAAGAGGGGGGTGATGACTAGAGGGGGGGTGGATCTCGTGGCGTGGGTCATGATTTTCCCTCGGATGTCATGGCGCGCCTTCTCCTTTCAGTACGTCCCTGGCCTCCCCTTGGGCCGCGCACGTGCCGCCAGCCATGAATTGCGCCTTCCCCCCCCCCCACCCCACCCCCTGCTGGACGCCCCCCTCTTGGCCAGGACCCTGCGCGACCACCCCAGACATCCGGCTGCCCCAATTTGTTCGATGCGTGGGCCCCGGAGGTCGGGACTACTCCTCTGGGACCGGTTTCTCGTCCTGAATCGTTTTCTGACGCTCCCGAGGCCCGGCGAGGGCCCCTCGGAGGCCGAAAAAGGTCAAAATCCGCCTGCTCCAATTTTTTCGGAGCGTGTCGGATTTCAGGGGCCGTTTCGGCGTCGAGTGCCGGCCACCGCGCGCCCCCCGTTGGGGTGCCTCGCCCGCCAGGAGCCCCGCGCCCATGTCGCTGCTCCGCTCCGCCTTCCGGTGGAAGGTCGAGTGCTGCAGGCCGACCGACAGCCAGGCGCACCAGAGCAAGGCGGCCCAGAGATTCAGAAAGCATCCCAGAGATCCCACGCATTGAGAAGATCAAGACGGAGGTTCTTCCGCGATGTTCGGCCTCCAGGGGCCCTCGCCGGGCCGCGGGACTGTCAAAAACCGAGTCAGGATGAAGAGCGATTCCTGTGGAATGGGTCGAGACTTCCGGGGACCCCGGCCCAAAGGAGGAGGAGGAGGAGGAGGAGGAGGAGGAGGAGGAGGAGGGGGAGGAGGAGGGGGAAGGGAGGAGGAGGAGGAGGAGGAGGAGGAGGAGGAGGTGGTGGAGGAGGAGGAGGAGGAGGAACTAAGAAAGCATTCCCACCGCCAGGCGGACAGCAACGCGGGGGGGAACATGCGAGGGGAACGAAGAACGACACAACCATAAAAACTCAGAGGGCCGCGCGGGTTTCTCGGATCCGCGCCGAACCCCTCTGGTGGCGCCTCCGGCGCCGCCCCTGACGCGCTTCGCGCGCCAGGGAGGGGGTCCAGCGCCGATCCGAGAAATCCGCGCGGACCTCCGAGTTTTTCGAAATCAGCCTGGGGGGAATCGAGGACTGCAAGCAAGTGGCCCTAAAAGGGCAAGTGGTAGTTTTGTTTATTCATTGTTTTGCCGATCGGCGCGGGCCTCCAACCCCCCTCTCCCCCCATCCCGTGGAGTAGATCTTGGCTGTTTTTTGGCGCCTGTCTCGAGCGGGTGGAAGTCTCAGATGGGATTGCGTTGGCATCGTAGCTGTGTGTGTCCCCTCTGCTTTGCTCAGATGCTCGGCGAGATCAGAGAGAAGTGGCAGAAGTTCATTAGCGAGGAGCTGCTCCCAGCTATAAACGAGCAGTCCGTTCACATAGGTGAAGACATCAGGGTGTTCTACGACGGTGACCACATACTGAGGACGGAGGTAATGACCACGCTGATCAGAGACATGAACCTGGCGACGGGATCTTTCCTGTTCGTGTTCCTCTACATCTGGTTCCACACGAGTAGCATTGTGCTGAGCCTCGTGAGCTTGCTGGTGAACTTAGCCACCATGTCCATTCATGCACCTCACTTACCCTTCGTTCCTCCCCCTCCCTCTCCTCCTCTTCCTCCACCTCGTCTCCTTCCGTTCTCCCTTCCCTCTCCCTCGTTTCTTCGGCGGAGTTCATTGGGCTTGCGTCTCCTCTCTCCCTTCCCTCCCGGTCTCTTTTCACTTCGCGGGTAAGAGTGAGTGAGATGAGGAGGACGGTGTTCGGCGCGTCAAGTCACTCTCCCCCTCTCCTGCTCCGCCCTTCTCATTTCTCCAACCCACTCACTCATCCGCCCATCCCCTTCTTCCGCTCCCTCTCTTCCCTCCTCCCATCCCTCCGCTCCGGCACGTCTCCGCCGCCATGCGCACTTCACCTCCCCGTCTTCACTCACCGAGCGCGTTCCACTACTCGCAAAGTGCCTACTCGCAAACGTCTGAAAAACACTTGTGTTGATGTAATGCATCGTAGATTCTCCGTGGGGGATCCAGGCCATTTGCGAGTAGTCACTTTGCAAGTAGTGGACCGCGCTCGTCTATTCACCCCCCTCCTCCCTCGCCCGTCCCTTCTCCCTCCTTTCTCCTCCCCTTCCCCCTGTCTTCCTCCTCCTCTTCCTCCTTATCCTTGCCCTCCTCCTCCTCCTCCTCCTCCTTATCCTCCTCCTCCTCCTCCTCCTCCTCCTCCTCCTCCTCCTCCTCGTCCTCATCTCCTCGTCTTCCTCTCCTCGTCGCTCCGCTCCCTCCCGCCTCCCGCCACCTCCTCCCTACCTCGCCCCCGCCTTCCCCTCCCTGCTCCCTGCTCTCCCCCCCACCTCTTCTCTCCCCTTCCTCTCCACCCCTAGTATCCTCCCAGCCCCTGGCCGCCCGCAGGTGATCGGCGCCTCGGTTCCGCTCTCCTACGTCGTCTTCGCAGCCCTGACAGGCCAGCGCACGATGACTCTGGCTTCGTTCCTGGCCGTGTTCCTGGTGGTCCCAGGGGCGGCCAGGGTCGAGAAGGAGGGCAAGGACGAGTGCGAAGGGAGTCTCAGACCTGCATTGTGCTGTTTCAGCGCTCTTCCTCGCCGCCGCGGCTGGATTCGCCCAGCGGTGCTGGCCGATGCGCGCTCCAGGACAGGTCGGGGATGTCGGTTTTTGAGGGGAGGGAGGGAGGAGGGGGGACAAGGGAGGGAGGAGAGGAGGAGGAGGAGGAGGGAGGAGGAGGAGGAGGAGGAGGAGGAGGAGGAGGAGGAGGAGGAGGAGGAGAGAGGAAGGGGAGGAGGAGGAGGAGGAGAGGAGGAGGAGGAGGAGAGAGGAGGAGGAGGGGGGGAGGGAGGAGGAAGGGGGGGAGGAGGAGGAGGAGGAGGGGAGGAGGAGGATGGAGGAGAAGAGAAGGAGGAGGAGGAGGAGGAGGGGGAGGCGGGAGGAGGAGGAGGAGGAGGAGAGAAGGAGAGAGGAGGAGGAGGGGGAGGAGGAGGAGGAGGAGGAGGAGGAAGGAGGAGGAGGAGGAGGAGGAGGAAGGAGGAGGGGAGGAGGAGGAGGAGGAGGAGGAGGAGGAGGAGGAGGAGGAGGAGGAGGAGGAGGAGGAGGAGGAGGAGGAGGAGGAGGAGGAGGAGGTGGGAGGGGAGGGGTGTGGAGGGGGACATGGAGGGAAGGGAGAAGAGGGAGAAGGAGAGGAGGGGAGAAGGAGGAGGAGGAGGAGGAGGAAGAAGAGGACGACGAGGAAGAAGAGGAAGAAGAGGAAACAGAGGAAGAAGAGGAGGAGGAGGAGGAGGAGGGTGAGGGGGGAGGGGGAGAAGGAGGAGGAGGAGGAGGAGGCGCCAGGGTCTGGCTGAACAATCTTCGTGCACCACAGGGGTCCAGAGGCAGCCTCTCTCATCGAGACCTGCGCACGTGCATGCGGTTTTACAGTGGAGGCCCATGCCAGGAAACACCCCGCTTGCCTCTAGGGTGCCCTGGGTTTCTTGGGCCTCGATGGTCTTGCTGTAGGAGGCGTGACCGTCTACACCAAGCATCAATGGACGTCCTGGGGTTTCAGGGTTGGGTTTCTTGTTGAAGGCTTTTTGTGGTCGGGCCCCTGCTGTCAAGACAGTCACGCACAGCAGAGATCGGGCACGGAGCAAGAGGGGTCATCGGCCACGGGCGTCCGCCACGGGACCTCCCCCATGCTTCCTCGTCCTCGACGAATTGCCTTGTGGGGGAAGCGCTTCTCCGCCTCCTCTTCCCAGCCACCCCCCCCGCCCCCTTCGGATGCACCCCCAAGCGGCGAGTCCCCAGCTTCTGTTTTCCTGCTGCTTATGCTTCGGCTTTGCGACGCCCCCGAATGACGTTCAACGTATTGGATTGTAGACTCCCAGGATGAACAGAAATAGCAACCATTCTGAGAAGGCGGGGATTTTTTTTTTTTAAAAAATTTGAGGGGGGAGGCAGAATTTTTAAAATTTTTGAAAATTTAAAAAATCTTGCTATTTTGCCTGATCCCTGATTTCCCAGATCCTGGGCCCAAGTTGCGATCCGAGGGCCCAGGGCCCAGGCAAAATAGCAAAATTTCCAAATTTTTTAAAAAAAATCAAAATTTTGCTATTTTGCCTGATCCCTGATTTCCCAGATCCTGGGCCCAAGTTGCGATCCGAGGGCCCAGGGCCCAGGCAAAATAGCAAGATTTTAAAAATCCACTCCACATCCATGCGTCCGCGCGTGGTGCATCACGTTGCGTTGCCCTACCCTTGTCGCAGACGTGGGCCAGCGAATGATGGCGTGTGTATGCATACTTGTGACCGTGTGTGTATGGCCACATGTGTGTGCATGCGTACATGTGTATATTTACAAAGAGCCGACATCTGTGTTCGTATGTGTATATATTTATATATTTTAGTTGTGTATGCACGTATATTCATGTATGTGTATGTATGTATATATATATATATATATATATATTATATATATATGTCATATATCATATATAAAGTCATGTATGTATGCATGATACTGTTTACATATATACGTAAACATGTTACACAATTGCGTACGGTTAAGCATGCATGCATCTATTAATGTTGACATAGTGATGAGCTCACACAGCCCCCCCCCCAGAGACACCAGAAGGCCAGGCCGCAAGCAGAATGCACCATATTGTCAAGAAAAACAACGAGAACTAGGGAGCCGATTTGTTCAATCACGCTGCCACATAGAATCGGTCGCGCGCCGAATACAGTGTTTTTTTGCAGGGAAAGCAAGGAAATCGGCATGACAAAAATCTAGAAACATGTTGAAGTTTTTACAATGCTTGTTATGTCACTTCCATACGTAAAAAAACACTACATCATGCACGGGGGCGCTTATACATGGCAGCGTGATTGAACAAAAGGGTGCCTCGATTTCTGGGTGATTTCCATGAGTCGTCAATGAGATCTGTCCGTTGCGCCCTCCATGTGGTCAGCTCCAAACTTTTGGAAGCATCCCGTCTACGGATGTTTCTCGGTCCCGGGCATATTTTGCACGCTCCCTGTGTCCTTGGCAGCTTTACCCATCCCGCCGCCATGCCATGTGTTTGGGGGCTAGGATGAAGGGGTATCGGGGCGTTTATTGTCGATCGTCGCTCTCCCTCCTCTTACTTGTCGTCGTCCTCCGTTTCTTCCTCCCCCTACGCCTTCTCCTCCCATCCCTCTTCTACTTCTTCCTCACCCCCCTTCTGGTATATTCAATTCGGCGATGCATAGGTCCTTGTGGAGGCATGCGAGCAAGCAGGGGTGCAACCGTTCGAGCGGGGTCCCAGCACCGTGGGGGTTTCGGGCCCCCCTTCGTTCCGCCTCCGCCTCCTGCCCCGCAACCACCTCATCCTGTCCCCAGGGATTTCTTCCAGGTTTCTGAGGTCCCGTGGGTGTTCAGAGACCACTCCATCGTCGAGGCCACTGTGGGCACTCCGTTTCGGCGGACGGGTGAGACGAAGGCTGTTTGGGGTCTTCTGCTTGGCAATGAGCCTGTTGGGAGGGGTTCTAGTGGGGATATGGGTCCTATCAGCGTTGCTGTAGAGGCTCCTGCTGCGGCCCTGTAGGCTCCTCAGCCCACTTCAGCAATCGCTGAGCTTCCGACTTTGTCACCCCAACAGATTGCTAAATCGGACGGTGTCGCTACCTCCGAGGCGCCTGCTGCTTGGGAGAATGACCAACGCCGTCGGGAGAACCTTTCGGTGGATAGGAATGAGGAGGATAGCATTGGCTAGCCTCTCGCGTTCCCGCGTCATCAGTACCCTCAGTACCCCCATCCTCCCCCTCATCCTCCTCCTCCCCCTCCCCATCCTCATCCTCATCGTCCTTATCTTCTCCCCTCCTCTTCAACCTCCTCCTCATCCTCCTCATCTTCCCTCCTCCGCTTCATCCTCCTCATCCCCATCCTCATCATCCCGTTTCATTTTCCTTTTCCTTCTCCTCCTCACCCTCAATATCCCCATCTTCCCTCCTCCGTTTCAATCTCCTCCATCATTACCCCCATCATCCTCATCTTCCCTCCACCGGTTCATCCTCCTCATCCTCATCCTCCTCCTCATCATCATCATCATCATCTTCCCCCCTCCGTATCATACTCCCCATCGCCCTCATCATGCTCATCTTTCCTGCTCCGTTTCATCATCATCCTCATCATCGTCCTTATCTTCCCTCCTCCGTTTCATCCTCCTCCCCATCCACATGATCCTCATCATCCCTCTTCCGTGTCCCCCTCCTCCTCATCATCATCCCTTTCATTATCATCGTTATCTCCCTCGTGCGTTTCATCATCCTAATCCTCCTCATCTTCCCTTCTCCGTCCCATCCTCCTCCCCATCCTCATCCTCATTATCCTTGTCATCCTCCTCCTTGATTCCTCATTTCTGCTTCGTTCTTCCGCCAACCATTGTGGTTCAGACTCCCCGAGGTGCTCTTGTTAGCCCTCTCAGTTTTGGCTTCGCCACCTTGTCGACGGGCCACTTGTGCACAGCACGCGATGTCTTCTTTATTCTACGAGGAGCATCGTGTAACACCAGGGGACCAGATTAATGAGCTTGGTTATGAGATCATGACGATGATAGTGATGAAGCTGGTGGCGACAATCGCAGGCCTTCATGGCCAGTCTGTGTTGCCCCGATCTTTCATCAGAAGCGCATTCGGGCTTGCACGTCGGAAGATCCCCACATCCAGAGTTGACATCACACTGCAACAGTTTTGCAACGACTTCTTACCGATCACAGCTCAGCGTGCTGGTTGTGACACATGGTGGGACGATCTCAAGTGGAACACCCTCCCCTTTGAGTTATCGGCCATGGACGTGTGTTTCCAACCTGTGATCCGTACTAAAGATGTTCGCGCCGTGGCTTTGGGTGCTGGAATTGCCAGGCGCGTGCTGAACGAATCCACGCACTTCGAGCTCACTTTACAGAAATATGCGGATCTGCGCTTTAATGACACGCGCGCATCTCAACTTGAATCGATCCCACGGATATTAAGCAACATGGTCAGTGAGGGCGTTCAAGAAGAACGGCTCCAGAAAACTATGGAGCAGGCTTCCTACACGCTCGGTAAGAACCCAAGGACTGGTTACCTGTGCCCGCCAGTCAAAGTGTCGAAAACGAACGTCAAGAACACGGTGGCTGCCCGCCTGGGCGTGTACGCAGGGGACATAGTGCGGGGCTTGGAACGTCATTCAGTATCGTCCTTTTTACGACGTCGTATTGAATTTTGATCCACTGACTTCCGTCGCAGCCGCGGGACTCAGGCGTTCCTTCATATGCCAAGTTTTTGATGGTTTACCATCTGGTTTCGCATGGGTTCCTTGATGTCCATGCGTTGCCAGGCGAGGTGGCCCCAGCGTGGCTCGGACGCGCGCGCGGGGAGTTTCTGCCGCGATGCGACTAGAAAGCTTGCAAGGTGTTGTGCGTGCGAGGTGGGCCAAGCGGGGCTCGGACGCGCGCGCGGGGAGTTTCTGCCGCGATGCGACTAAAAAGCTTGCAAGGTGTTGTGCGTATTTAGATATTCCCACTGTGCTTCTAGTACAGTATATATCATATCTAGCATATAGTATATGTATATATGTATATATATATATATATGAATATATATATATATATATATATAGTCATATATACATATATAATTATACATAAATACTGAACGATAATTAACACTATATATAATACAATTTATATGTGTGAATAAATGAACGCAGACGCGCGTGCGTCGGAGGATGCATATGTGGATAAGGAGAATTTGTTTGCTTAACGAAGAGGAGGATGACGAGGGGGAGGAGGTGGAGAGCGAATGCCGATGAGTCGAGGATGCCGAGGAGGTTTTGTTTGCTTTTAGCCGAGGGCGCGGCTCGGAACACTGGAACTGCATGCCCGTGCGCCCCAGGCGGGGCTCGCGTAGTCAATCTACTTGCTTCGCGGATCATCGTTCCATGCGTACCAGATCAAAATGATATTGGACCGGTTCCACGCCTCGTACTTCTCACGTGTCCCACGACCGCGCGTCACGCCGTCCTGCGCTGGGCCAGGGATGGTGCCGCTGGCGCTTGCGGCGCTGGCGAAGCATCAGCCCGCGGGCCTTGCAGCGGCGGGGGCGGCCGACGTGGAGCAGGCCCAAGACGCCGACGACGAGGCCACCGACGACGAGGCGCCTCGTGAGAGCGCAGCCAAACGGCCTCGTAAGGGCTCCAAGTTCGACCAGGAGCTGAACGCCATGGCCGTCAAAGCTTCCGTGCCTGCTGCTCAGCACGCGCAGGCTGTGGTCGCTTGTGAAGTCATGTTTCGGGTGCTCGCCATTAGCAGTTTCGTTATTCAGGTGGCCGATGCCCTTCCGAGGCGCCGCGGGCCACCACGGGTCAGCAACAGGTCGGCCGCAGGGCCACCGCGGGACACCGGCGGGGCAACCCGGGACAACCACGCGGCAACGATTGGAAATTGCAGGGCGGGACCTCCACGGGGAGGCGCGGCGGAAAGTGGCGAGCCATTTGTGCAAGGTCGACCTCGCCAGTCTCCTGGGCTACGATCTCGTGGAATACGGCATATGCGAACACCGTCGGCTGCTCACTAAGAGGCGCAAGCGCCGGGGAAAGAAGACCCTTCCAGACTCGCACTTCCACCGCGCCCACGTCGACGGAATCCGCAAGGCGCGGGCCCAGATGGTCAAGGCACTTAAGCAGAAATACAAGTACAGGTGATCGTCGCGCGCAGCTGCTCTGTCCGGTTTCACCCAGAAAAAAGCATTGGGGCGAGGGGGGGCGGAGGGCGGGGGGCGCGGGGAAAAATACAGATCACAGTAAACATATACTCCGACTACATACATACACATATTCACACATATATATATATATATATGTATATATATATACATATTCATATCTATAGTGTTGTATATACGTATAGGTGTGTATACGTATATATAAGTATGTTGGGTTTGTACAGATTCCTACATGTAAGAATACGCATATATTACCATCGACAGTATCGTATGCCTGCGTGTTATTTGGCAAGGCATGCGTTCAGGTGGTCCTACTTGGCCCAATGAGGAATTGTATTGGCGTGCCGAAGATTTGCCACGTTGCCGCCAGCTTCGCCTCGTTGCCGCGCGCTTACCGATATCAGCCAATCAATGATTGCACTTCTGTATTATTACTTGGCTTTCTCTGGAACTGGGCGGGCGTGCCGGGGGTTCACCGCGTTGCCGCCCGCGCCGCCCCGCTGCCGCGTCGCACCAGCCTCGCGCGCTGGGCGGGCGGGCCGACTTCGATGAGGACGAGGGGGAGGATGGTGGAGGTGGAGGAGGAGGAGGAGGGGGATGGGGTAGAGGAGGATGGGCAGGAGGAGGAGGACGAGGAGGAGGAGGAGGAAAATGAGGAGGAGGAGGAGGAGGACGTGGAGGAGGCAGGGGAAGAGGAATATAATACTGAATATGAGTAAACGGAGAGATGCGATTGCTCGGGAGCTGCAGAAGGCTCCTGCGTTTTTTGTTGTGCTTCTTGGGCCGTATGATGGGTGTCTTGGGGAGCATGGGGTGTCTTGGGAGCCTTTCTGTGGAGGGCGTTCCTGACCGTTTGAGGGGTTCCTAGGGATTCCTGGGACCTCCTGGAGCCTCCTGGGGCATACTGAGGCCTTCTGGGGCCCCCTGGAGCCTCCAGGGACCTCCTTCTCGGGCCTCCTGGGGCCTCCTGGAGCCTCCTGGGGCGTCCTGGGGCGTCCTGGTGCTTCCTGGAGCCTCCTGGGACCTCCTGGGAATTCACGGGGCCTCCTGGAGCCTCCTGGGACCTCCTGGGAATTCACGGGGCATCCTGGAGCCTCCTGTGGCCTCCTGGGGCCTCCTGGGGCCTCCTGGGGGGCCGTCCGAGCGGAGGGTGGGGGTGGGGGCGGGGGGGGCGGCTGGGAAGTGATGCTGGTCGTCGCGACCCCCCCCCCCACCGACTTGCAATATTTTCCCACATTTTCCGGGGGGATCGACGATGAATTGTGTCTGTGTGTGCTTTTTTCCCTCCTTCCAGTGGAGCGTCGGTGGCCTGATCCTCCCTGCCGCAAAGGCGGGGGCAGCAGGGGCGACGAGAAGGAGGCAGCACCGTCCCCGAAGCCTCTCCTGGGCGCCACGGCGAAGCAGCAGAGCTGCACGCAGCGCGTGTCGAATTCATTACGGATCTCATTGGTTCCCGGGTTCCGGGTTCCCGGGTTCCTGATCATTGGTTCCAGGCCGATGGTTAACTATCGATCTCACTACCGATCTCACTGTCGAATGAGGAAGAGGGGAAACTGGGGGGACCATGTGCAGGCACCCCCCGCCGGGCAGGAGCGCGGCCTTGGCGCGGGACTGGGGCCAGGGTGGCAAGCGCCGGGGTGTCTCAGCACACCCCGCTCTCCTCGCGAAGGCCTCTTGCAGACGGCCCCCGTGCGCCTGCATCCGCAGCGCGAGCAATCAACCAGGAGCTGCTCCGCGTCAAAATCATGCTCTCGCAGAAGCGTGTACACGTCGTTCATCTCTAATCGTGCTTATTTCCAAGTGTGCTCGTTTCTAATCGTTCCTGGCCCCCTAGTGGCCAGGAAGAGGCCCAGGACAGAACAATTAGAAATGACAGGATCTTGGCCCCCCAAAAATCAAAGAACTTTCGAAGAATCAGACATGAGCAATGTGTACTCATATCCACCCAGTTCAAGAGGATGGATAATGGGGAGAAAGAGGAAGAGCAGAGTGAACCCAAGAAGTGTCGCCCCGAAGGACGAGCGCCCCAGGGGCCCGAAGTTCAAGCGGGAGCTCCGTTTTGAGAGGAACTGCCGCCCACCTTTCGGGATATAAGGACTGCAACGAGGTGTGGTAACAATGTGCACCTCGTTCCTTTCTAATCGTGCTCATTTCGAATTGTGCTAGTTTCTAATTGTTCCTGGCCCCCTAGTGGCCAGGAAGAGGCCCAGGACAGAACAGTTAGAAATGACAGGATCTCGGCCTCCAGAAAAATCAGAAGAACTTCGAAGAATTAGAAATGAGCCATGTGTATTCATATCCACCCAGAGAAGGGAGATGGATAGTGGGGGGGAGGAAGAGCAGAGTGAGCCCAAGAAGTGTCGTCCCGAAGGACGAACGCCCCAGGGGCCCGAAGTTCAAGCGGGATTCCTGCCGTCGAGGGACGTGCCCGACTCAACGCTGGATGAACGAAGCCCCTCCCTCGGCCCCAAGGGCGACTGCGTGGGCGAGGAGCGCCAGAAAACCAGCCCTGGAGGGACTCCCCCTCGGAGGAGCATCGGGCCCCTTCCGAGCCCAAGCTGTTCCTTGTTTCGGCGTCCTGGGAGCAGGAGGAGGAGGCTGGTGAGAGACAAACGAAAACAGAATAGAGAAGAAACAAGAGACAAATTTATTTTAATGAAAGCGAACGAGGTAGGTCTTGGCACAAAAACAGTTCCAAACAAAACAAAAAAGAAAAAAAAAATAAGGAAAGGGTGTGGGCGGGAGAGGGGCTGTGCGCCAGCGACGTGGAATGGAGAAGATGAGTAGTAGGGTATGAGGAGGAGGGAGGAGGAGGAGAGCATCGGGCCTCGCCTGGGCTCCAATTTGGATGTCCGAAACGGGGCGGTGACAGACCGTTCGAAACCCTCCGAACTCCCCCCAAGAACCTCAACTCGCAGCGTCACTATCACCGCACGTTTGGACGCCCGATTCTGATTCTCATACTCAGAGTAAGCTTTGAGCAGCGCTGCCTCCTGCCGTCTGCCCTGTGTCCCCCCCCCCCCACCCCGTTTTTTTTTTTTTTTTTTTTTTTTTTTTGTTTTTTGTTTCGCCGCCACCCTCGGCTCAAGGCGAGGGAGGGCGGGGCTCTTTCTGACAGAGCCTGGCCGTGCCAGGCAGACCGCGCACACTACAGCGCGGCCGTTCATATTGTGGACAAAAGGTGTTCACGGACAATTATCACGATAATTGACATCGACACATACTTTCTCTTGCTCCTCCTCGTCGTCACCAGCGTGAACGATCTAGAGGACGAGCTCTAGTAATCAGATTGGTAGCGGAGCCTGTGGTCTCCGACAACCACGGGCTCCCACCGGTCTCGGCCTGAATGGCGACTACAGCCGCCAGCGGGCCACCGACGACGCGCGTCGACGTCCCCTCATGGAACGGCGAGGCAGACAAGTCGATGAGCTACAAGTTTGAGGTCTCCATGTTCACCAAGAGCATCAAGACTGCGGAGCGCTACGTGTGTGGCCCGCAGCTGGTGCGCGCCCTTGGGGCGCGAGTCCGGACGACGGTGGAGAGCTGCCCGGACATCGACACGGTCGACGAGATCGACAAGGATGGAGTTTTGATTGGTTGGAACAAAGTGTTTCAGTACGTCTTGGAGAAGCTGGACTTCACCAGCCTGAATGACACGGGCCTCCTCGCGGAGGAGTTCTTCCTGAAGGTCAGCAGGAACTCGGGCGAGACCTTCCAGGACTGGGCCGCCAGATTCGAGAAGAAGGAGCGCGAGCTGTTGATGCAGCTCCAAGTCATCGATTCCAGCGTGACGGAAGTGATTGCGAAGCCTCTTCGGACATGGTGGTTCCTCCGGAAGTCCAAGCTATCCCCTGTTCAACGTGGAGAGATCACCGCCACTGCAGGTGGCGACCTCAACTTTGGTAAGACATACAAGGCCTTGCTCACGCGCTTCCCGGCGGAGGCGCTGGCGGAGCTCGACGGCAAGCAGCACCGGAGGGCCTTCTATGAGGACACGCCCGTCGACGACGTTGAGGACGAGACTGGTGGGGAAGATATTGATTTCACAGAGGTTGTCGAGCAGCTGATCACCCTCGCTGAAGAAGACGAATATGAGGAGCCAGCTGACGACAACCCAGCGGACAACGAGGTGTTCGCAGAGTTCAAGCAGGTGGGCAGGAGCTTCAAGGACGCTCGCGACCTGATCCGACGCCTTCGCGTGTCCCGCGACTACTACCCGGTCGTGTCGCTCAAGGACCCCGATCGCGTGCCCCCGCCTCCGAACACGGGACGAGGCTTCCAGCGTGGCCGTGGCAAGAACGGTCGAGGCCGCGCCCGCTTCGACACGGGCAAGGGACGTGACATGTCCAAGATGAAGTGCATGGCGTGCGGCGAATATGGTCATCGAGCGGCGGACTGCAACGAGAGGTTCAAGAAAGATAATACGAGAGATGGAGCTCGTGGGACTACTCACAACGGCTTCGTCCTGTCCGCCCTCGACGAGTACCTCTACCTCCTGGAGCGCGACGGCATCTGGGCGATCCTCGACATCGGGGCCGCGAAGAGCCTCGGCGGCCTCGAGAGCGTCGAGAACCTCATGTACGAGATGCTGGACCAGCACGGCCAGGAGTTCGAGACGACACATGACGAGTGCTCATTCACCTTCGGCGACGGCCTCCAGAAGAAAAAAAGAAAACAAAGAAAAAAACAAAAAAAAAAAGAAAAAAAAAAAAAAAAAACAAAAACAATTAAAAAAAAAAAGAAAAAAAAAAAAAAAGAAAAAGCAAAAAACAAAAGATAAGCTCGATGGCACGGTGAAGGGGATCGTGTTCCTCGGCGGCGACCTGACCGAGGTCAAGCTGTCGGTGATGCCGAACCGCGTGCCGATCCTCCTGGGCATGGACATTCTGACTGACTCGCTGAAGGTTGTGGTCGACTGCGGCCGGAACTGGATCGGCCTTCCGACCATGGGCAACAAGGTGTTCTTCTGCGAGCGCCTCTCGAGCAACCATCTGGCCGTCAACCTGACGACGCCGCAGTGGTGGAAGGAGGTGCCGCTTTCCTTGCCGAGTGCCGGGTGCCTGACGTCCGAAGCGACGGCGCCCGATGTTCTGGTCGAGGAGCTGCCCGGAGAGGCCGCTCCGTGCAGCTGCTGCCCTGCGGTACGCTAGGGACAGCGCCCCCTGATGATGGCAGCAAGAGAGAAGTTATCTCGATTGTCAACTTCATCATCGGGGGGGCCACACCGACTCGGTCACCGCGAGTTCGAAACACCTACCAGAGCGACGGAAACCTCGGCGGCGCGGACACCTACCAGAGCGACGGAAACTGCGACACGGAGCGGATCGGCTCGAGCGACGGAAACCTCGATTTCGTTCGGACGGACGGTCAGGTCACCCGACCGGCTCTCTTCATCATCACCGTCGATCGGGACATCATCACAGTCAAGAGGACCGTTAGCAAGCAAGCCTCAGGGTCAAAATATGGAAAAGCAAAGCGATGAGCCAGCACAATACCATCGGTGTTCATCATCATGCTGTTCGCAGCCACCTTCGGCTCAGTTCATCAACTCGGCAATAGCCTCAACCAGCAGTCTTTCACGACCTCCATATTCTTCCCAGGCCGCCACTGGCCGCTTGGATGACATGCAGCGACGGTTCTTTGGCTGGGCAATCCTCGGAGCAACAGCCGCCACCTGTGCCCGCGGCCCGCCCCGAGTGGAGCCGCCCTCGCACGAGGGGATCGACAACTTCGGCTGCAGCGACCCCGACGCCAACATCAACAGCAACACCAGCTACTCCGGAGCTACCAGCGAAGTGGTACAACCCAGTGGGGAAGTGCGGCTGCTGCGGAGCACTGGGGAAGACCAAGCGCGGGTGCAGCTGCTTCGGGGGCAAGAGCCACCAGTGCCTCAAGACCCCACAGCAGGGAGCACCCGGGACACCAGCAGCGGCATCAGCAGCGACAGCCAGCAGCGCCCCCTCGAGTCCAGCGGGGGCTCAGCCAGTGACGAGACCTCCGAAGTCCGCGTGCTCCTGCTGCGGGACCCTCGGGAAGACGATTCGGGGGCGCAGCTGCCGCGGAGGCAAGAGCCACACGTGCACGAAGGCGACGGAGGTGACCATTCGGGAGCAGGCAGTGGCTCTACGCTGGCGGCGCCTGTCCAACAAGCTGAACTCCCCGGAGATACAGGGGGGCTGGAAGTTCACTCCGGAGATGCTCGACGACTCGGAACTGCCGGAGATGGACTCGAAGAGGAAACGCTGAAGCAGCTCGACGACCAGGATCTCAAGATGTTCTACGAGAGCCACGACAAGGTCCTTGACGAGATCTACCAGACCATCGCCGAGGACCTGACGGAGCTCGGCAGGCCCTACCGCATCGACCTGATGGAGGCGTGCTGTCCGGAGGACTCGAGCCTCAGCAAGGCCGTGCAGGACCAGGGAGGCAAAGTGTTTAGGTGCGGCCTCTTCAATGGGATCGACATGGGAACGGCAACCGGGCTTCGACGCGCGCTTCACCTTCTCCGACGACTCCGACCGCGCCGCTTGGTTCTCAGCCCGCCATGTACAGCAGACTGCCCGATCCAGAATCTCAACCAGAAGACAGATCAGCAGAAGGCCACGTATCTGGCGAAGGTGCGCAAGGCCCGACGTATCCAGCGGAACTGCAAGAGCCTCTGGGAAGACTCGAAGAAGATTCACGACTGCCACACCGAGCTCGAACAGCCAGCTTCCAGCCGAAGCTGGACCAGGTCGCCCTCGATCAAGGCGATGCGCGATCAGATGCACGAGACGATCATCCATGGCTGTGCGCATGGACTTCGCGAAGCTCGTTCCGGCCTGCTGATGAGGAAGGCATGGCGCATATGCTCGACAGACCCGGAGTTCGGCGCTAAGCTCGGCAGGGCGTGCTCCAACCGCCCTGGCAGGGGCGACAACCACACACACCGCCCCATCGAGGACGGACAGGTGGTGGCCCAGACGGCCTTTTACCCACCAGCACTGTGTAAGGCTTGGGCGAAGCATATCCTGAAGACGAACACCAGCGCGAGGTACGGCAAGGAGATCTTCACCAGCTTGGAACAGATCCCAGAGGACGCTGAAGAGGAGATGGAGGAGGCCCTCGACGAGGACCTCTTGCAGGATAACCCCGAGGCCATGGACGACGAGTCGGTCATGAAGGGCCTGGGCATCTCCGAGACACCGACCAAGAAGGAGGAGCTGGAGATCGAGCAACGGCTGACGCGGCTCCACCGCAACCTCGGCCACCCGAGCAACAAGACACTGTACAAGATCCTCAAGGCATCGGGAGCACCTCTCCAGGTCCTACAAGCAGCTCTTCGCCACCAGTGTCACGCATGCCATGCGGGACAATTACCAAAAGCCGTCAGGGTCGCCTCGGGCATCGAGTTGCCAGGCGTCCTAGAGGTGCTGGCCTCCGACGGGCTCGAGTGGCTCTCGCCGAAGCAGGACTCTTTCCTGATGACGTTGAACATCGACGAGGGATCCGGGCTCACCAGTGTCACCTATCTTGGACAGAAGGGAGAGCGCAATGGCAACAGATCGACTCAGGAGGTGATTTCAACATGGAATGACTGGTGCGGACATTACCGCCGCCCCAGCCTTCTCCGTCTGGACCCCGAAGGTTGTCATCGTTCACAAGCAGTGGCCAGGTGGTGTTCGGACCGCGGCATCGAGCTGTGGATCGCCCCGGGCGAGGCCCACTGGCTGATGGGCAAGGTCGAGAGGCGCATCCAGCTTTTCAAGCGACTGATGACGAAGCTGGCAACGCTGGACCCCGACTGCCCGGTCGAGGAGTTGGTGTCCTGGGCCGTGAGCGCGATCAACAGCGCGGACAAGGTCGGCAACCACTCCCCGTTCGAGCACGCGATGGGCGTCTCTGGGATGCCGGCCTCGAGCAACCCGTTCGCCATCATTGACGGGGACACCGGGGAGACTCAGGAGCAGAGGCGCCTCCTCGCGCGCAAAAGCTTCCTGGAAGTAGAGTATGCTGAGCGTCGTCGACGCGCCGAGCAGGCTCGCAACCGGGTCTATCAGACCTGGAATCCGGGGGACCTCGTCTACTTCTGGCGCAAAGGGAAAGGCCTGGACCCTCGCCCTGGGAAGAAGGGCGGGTGGTACGGCCCTGCTCGTGTCCTTGCTCAGGAAAAACGACACGTGGACGGGCGCACCCGTCCTACCTCGGTCATCTGGATCTCCCACGGGAGCGTGCTCATCAGGTGCGCCCCGGAGCAGCTGCGCGTCGCCTCGGAGGCAGAGAAGATGATCGTCGAATTGCAGCGGCAGAGCAACCTTGGCAAGACCATGACGGAGATCTTGGAGACAGCCAAGGGCGGTACCTACGAAGACCTTCTCGGACAAAATCCTCCAGACCTCCGAGAATACGAGCCTCCACCGCAGCCGACGATGGCGATCCCCGCGACCGAGGGCCAGACTCTCGAGAACAACAGCGAGGCGGGACTCCCATCAGGCGCCGACAACGACACACCCGGCGATCCTGATTCCTCCAGGCCACCAACACCAAGCTCAGCGACGCAACCTGAAGTGGAACCGAGTGAACCAGATGTCCGACGGTCCCGGTCACCACCGGCTCGTGCAGCTGATCGGTCAGCAGCCCCATCACGAACGCCAGGGAAAGCATCTACCTCAGCGGCAGTCAGGACGGAGTCTCGAACAGCATCGCGTCCGCCTCCCGCGACCTCGACCTCATGGGCGGCCGGTGCCGCATCCCGAGGCGAGTCGAGACCTAGATGGCGCATGACACACCGCGGACCAGAGCTCGATCTGCACGTACCGCCGGAGAAGCGACAGAGAGGCGCAGACGAGGAGATGGCCGACGCGCTGTTCGACAGCAACCACCTGGTCAACCTCTTCAAGGACAAGTTGGACATCACCCTAGGCATCGACGAACAGCAGACCGTCTACTTCGAGTACTTGCAGGACGAGAATACCACTCCAGACGGACGCCGAGGTTTGATGAGCCACATCCTGGACAGCTTCGTCGTCAACCAGCGCCGGAAGGACAAAGTGGAGCTGACCTGGTCCAAGATGAACGCCACCGAGCGTGAGGAGTTCGAGGCAGCCATCGCCAAGGAGACGAACAACTGGATTCAGCATCAGGGACTCCGCGCTGTCCCGATATCTCGGGTCAAGGACGCGGCGGACGTCATCCGGGCAAGGTGGCTCTTCACCCGCAAATCCGATGGGAAGGCGAAGGCCCGGCTCGTCCTCCTCGGCTACCAGACGAAGGACCTAGGACAGGAGCCGACAGCCAGCCCCACCGCGTCTCGGCGCGCCCGTCACGTGATGCTAACAGTGGCCGCCGCGAACCGCTGGAAAATCATCAAGGGCGACGTCACCTCCGCCTTTCTGCAGGCCCACGACCTCGACAAGGACCTCTTCATCGAGCCAGACGCCGTCCTCAGAAAGGCCTTCCACGTGCAGGAAGGGGACATCCTCCAGGTCGTGAAACCTGGATATGGGATCGGCGAGGCGCCCCGGCACTGGTGGGAGACGGTCAAGCACGACTTTGCGAAACTTCGACTTCAAGCCTGCGAGTTGGAGCCCTGCCTCTGGAAAGCACGATGTTCCAGGACGGGCAGGCTCATTGGTATGATCATGGCCCACGTCGACGACTTCATCATGGCAGGAGATACCTCCCACCCTGAGTGGCAGGACATGGTCAAGCAGATCCGAGGGCTCTACAAGTGGGGCACCTGGGAGGACATGAATGACGGGCTCACCTCTCTCGAACAGCGCGGCGTCACCATCGAGGAGAGCGAGCAGGGCTTCTTCCTCCACCAGAAGTCGTATATCGACAAGATCAAGGAGGTCAAGGCGGCCAGCGGCAGTAAGCATCGGACCACCGACAGCCTCAAGGACTCTGACAAGACGGTGCTCAGGGCGTTCTGCGGCGAGATCTACTGGCTTGGCGTGAATGCCATGCCATTTCTCTTATCGTGGGTAGCCGACCTCCAGATGAAGATACCAGCAGGTACTCACAACCTCTTCACGGCCGCTAACAACATCGTCAAGCTCGTCAAGCAGAGCCGCCACATGGGGATCAGGATCTACCGGCACGCCCTGGACGACCTCGCCATCTTCACCTGGTGTGACGCAGCCTGGGCCAGCCGCCCGGATGGACACTCCCAGGGTGGTCATATCACCGCTATCTCCTCCAAGGCGGCCATGGACGGGAAGCTCTCCGAGTTCACGGTCCTCGACTGGGGCTCCAAGAAGCTGCGCCGCGTGGCTCGGTCAAGCCTGGCGGCGGAGGTGCAGGAAGCCGGCGACGCCGAAGGCGAACAGAGCATGGTGCGACTGGTACTTGCCGAACTTCTACACAATGTCTCCACTGCAAGATACCGCAGCAGCACTACGACGATTACCAGCCATCCTGGTGACGGACTGCAGGGCCTTCTACGACGGCGTGGTGCGATCTCAGTCGGCGGGACTGGGACTGGAAGAGCGGAGGACAGCCATCGAGGCTTTGGCTCTCCGCAATGCCTTGGACGAGGGTCAAACGGTCGTGCGCTGGGTTCACTCACACGCACAGATCGCTGACGGCCTAACCAAGGCAAGCTGGCAGGCATTCGGAGTGGTCCGGGCCTTCCTCGAGAAGCAGCAGTGGCGCCTCATCTACGACGAGCAGTTCATGAGCGCTCGCAAGCGGGCAGCTCTTGGCAAGGGCATCTTCGACGAGACGGACCCGACCGACCCGGCCTCAGCTCGTCAGGTACTCGAGGAGCGTAGGTTGGCCCGCCAAGCACAACCACCAGCCAGCATGGAAGGGAACCCTTCCAGCTCGACGACCTCTACTGGGTTCTCGGCCTCCGAATCCCTGATCATGATCCAGAAGTTGCAGCAGGAGATCGAGACCCATCAGAAGTTCGTCCAGCAGCACACACGGAGCGCAGAGATTGCCTGCGCGCACGGTACAGGGCAGAACCTTTTTCCCCCTGTCTGAATGCTACGCAGGAGTAAGCTTGAGCAGCAGCTGCCTCCTGCCCGTCTGCCCTGTCCGTTTCGCCGCCACCCTCGGCTCAAGGCGAGGGAGGGCGGGACTCTTTCTGACAGAGCCTGGCCGTGCCAGGCAGACCGCGCACAC